AAAAAAAACTTTTAAAATGATTTTTTTGTTATTACGTAATTGAATATGATTTTTTTTTTTAAGTTGATTTAGTGAAAAACCAAATCAGATTTCTGGGTGACATTGCCTTCCTCTACTGGGTGGACCCCCCCTCCATTCACTGCTTCTTAACGGGCCCAGATCAAAGGCTGGCCGGCCCGGCAAACACCACTGAAACCCGCCCGCTTTGTCTGCTGTTGCCAGGGATGAGGAAGATGACGATGAGGAGGAGGAGGGGTAAAAACATGGACCCCCGCTCCACCAATTTTTGATCAATTCATTTCTCCTCCTTTAAGCGAGTTGCGCTCTTTCCGATGTTAAACTAATTAAAATCGAGTCAAGGAACAAACAAAACTAATAAAAGCAGATTTATTGCCTTTGTTTAAAAAAAAAAAAACATATAGACACCACTGGCCAAAAGTGAGAAACAGAAATACCAATAATAAAAAAAGACGTCAGTGAAGGTGTGTGGTCACATGACTAATTGGGGAGGGGTGATCAAAGCCTAACACCTGCTTCTAAGAGAAAAGTTGATTGATAGGAAGCGGATCCAACTCATACATCTCTGTTCTGTGGAGGGATGGAGAGTTCACTCAGTCCTGCAACAAAATTCAATAAAAGCTGAGTTCCAAAATCATTATGGTTTCTTTGGGTAACAAATCCTTTAAACTTTTGTTCAACATTTAATTGCAAGGATTAGTTTAATCATTGGATTCTATTTTTGTAAATGGTACTAGACATCATTGGGCGTTGTTATTATATAAAAAAAACCTTGTTATTGTTAACAGTAGTTGTTGTGTTTGTTGTTTTGTTTTTCACGTGGAGTCAAGCTATATGTGCAAAATGATCAATAAAAAGTAATTTCATTTAGAAGAATTTTACAGAAGGCCCTAAAAAGCTTTTAGAATGGCTAAATAAAAGCTGAAACAGAATCCCAGGGGTCTTTGTGTTACTAAGGGCCCTCTCTAAAAATTAGGAGCCTTAAAAAAAATGTTTGAACCTCTACTAATAATCACCCTGTTTGAAATGTTAATCCTTTTTTTTTTTTAACCCGGACAGGTCACTGTCCACATTTCAAAATACAAAAATGATTTTCATTTTCAACTGAGGTGTACACTCTTTGATTTATTTCAAAACTTCATTTAACATTTATTTAAATATTTATTTTTGATGTAATTTTGACACAGTTCACTATTAGTAGGTGGAGGAGACAGAAGTTAGTTGTGGAGCTTTT